AGTAATAATAATAATGAAAATTATCTAACACAAGCTGAAAATCTTTCACAAATTTAGCTTACAGTCAACCTGGACCGGTAGGCCTATTTCAGACTGGTGTGATACCCTCTACAAGGGTGGCAGATATTATAGGCACATTTTCCACAGAGAATCAACTGATTTATCTTAAGACATTATATGTGAATATCTTGTGAAAAATCAATCTGTGACCCTGGTAGAGGGTAATGATGTGAGAAGTTGTTACTCGCTGACCGCTAGGTGGTGTAGCGGCTAGGACCATCTTGTAAATGTCAGATAAATCGACCCCCGTCCCTATTTATGCTTAAGCTAACGACATGAAGGATTTTTGGCCTGTGTTTGATCATTTTCATTAATGATCCAACTGCCAAGTTAATGAACATTTTTGCTCAATAAAAGTAATAGTTTAATAAAATTGTTAAAATTGTTAAAATCCCAGCCCGTAAGCTGAAGTTATCTATATTTGTTAAAACTGAATATGATATTCAGAACATAACACGATAGTTCACAGCTCTACAAAATGTTAATTTAAAATTCAAAAACTGAATGCCGTTTAATGTGACATCATTTTCAGGGCTGACTGCAACGTCGCTACCAGGCAACGAAAGCCTGTCCACCACGGTCTGACGGACTTCGGCAAGGTAAGGCAGTGGCGGATACAAAGGGGTAGGAAATTGTCATTCGAATGCCCTCTATTTTTAAATATAAAATAGCGGAATAAACACCTGTCTTTTCTTTATAGAGGATCCCATTGCGTATGTCGTGACCCGTGAAAGCCGCTTTTTATTTCCGAAATGCGTGAAAGGTTCATATTATTTAGTGTGATCTGGGAAGCGCCCTATTCCCGTGTCTCGTGAATACGATTTTTTTTTCTTCGCCCTTTGTGAAACGAAGTCATTGTATTCGGATATTCGTGAATTTTAGGATTTTTGACCCACATTATCAGTGAAATCTGAAAAAAAGTTTAATTTAGTGTGATTGTGAATTGATGATTTTATTTCCCGTGAACTGTGACCCCCCCCCCCCCCCCCCCAATAGGACCCTCTTTACAAGGGAGAATTTTGCCCTTGGCGATTTTGATCTCAGGAGATTTTAAACGGCGCTATATCACTCAAAATGAACAATATTTATTAAAAAGTATGTGATTCTTGTTTTCTTTTTTTCTAGATCGTCGTGAAGGAGATGAATCGCTTAGGAATGATGGTAGACCTGTCGCACGTGGCCGTGGACACTATGCACGCGGCCCTGAACGTGTCTGAAGCACCGGTCATCTTCAGCCACTCGTCTGCTTTCGCACTTTGTCCTCACGTCAGAAATGTTCCGGATGATGTCCTTGTACGAGTGGTATGTCGAACTATAGGTCTCTTTGAAAAACCAGCAGCTTTGATTTAGTAAACTTACGAATAAATGCATGTAGCAGGGGCGGATTTAGGCCGTCTTCTGGGTCTTCCGGAAGACGGTCAGATTTTCAAGTTAACATTGACGTGTATCGTATGTTTTCTGTCAGAAGACGGTCAAAATGGAGGATGGATCAACAAAGATAATTTGGGAGACTGTCAGAAAATATCTCTAGATTCGCCCCTGTGTAGTTAGGCATTCACAACACGGTTATTTATAAATAGTTTGGTAATTGATAAATTGTTAAAAGACTTGGATTTAGCTAAAAGGAAGCCAGAAGGATACATTTGAGACAGACCTTGAATAAAGTGCTTATTCTTCAATGAGCGATTGCTCTTTGAACATTATTTTACTTGGTTAATCTGAGTAGAGGCATTTTCTTGTGCTTAAAATAGCGCCCGTACTCCATTCATGATTTTGATCAGTTTACATGTATTTGTACACAATTTAGATTAAATTTCGGAGTCTTGTCGTTTTAACAACCTACAGAGGGTAGTAGTGTTGTTCTTTTTGTTCTATAGAAAGAAAACGGCGGCATAGTTATGGTTAACTTCTACAATGATTTTATAAACTGCTCCGCTGAAAACACATACACAGGGGAACAGGACTGGAGACCCGCTGATATCAACCAAGTCATAGGTAAGCACTATATATCTTAAAATAGCCTAGTGTCACAAAATACGGCTGTGGTCGCTCGACTGGCGACAAATACAAAATATTAATGTTGCAATGTCAAACCACGATCATAACTACAAAATTGTAAATGCTTCAATTATTTCAAATAAATTAAGTTTCATTCCCGCTTTGTAACCTGAATCCGCAACTCAGAACCTTGATCCGCGATTCAGAATTATTATTATTATTATTATTATTATTATTATTATTATTATTATTATTATCCAAATGAGACGAAATTGTAAGAAAAACACTGCTGTATATTATTAACCACTTCTGTAAAATTCAGTGAGCGCTTTCCTTATTGTATACTATTGTATGCTTCAGATCACATAGAGTACATACGCAATATAACCGGCGTTGATCACGTTGGACTAGGCAGCGACTTTGATGGAATAGACAGGTGAGAAAAGATGCTGTAATACAAAGTTTACGAATAGAGATTGCACGTACGGGGAAAATACCGAAACCAATTAACGCGCTATGGGCTAACTTTGTTTAATGTATCATTTGAATAAGAAATAATTTTTTGACCATTAGAATTATGTGTATTTAAACAAGAAGATTAAAGAGAAATATTTTATTTTCATTAATGTTCCTTGATTTAAATAAAAAAATATATCAGTCCCGTGATTTATTTCCGTCGTCAGAAATATCACAGTGACTCTATGTTATATATTACTGAACAACACTGATAATACAAATGCAAATGCACCGTTTCATTTAACGTATTGTAATCACAGGTATCCTGTTGGTCTAGAAGACGTCTCGAAATTCCCCAACATTCTCTACGAGTTGATGTCACGTGGTTGGAGTGAGGAAGAGCTGGAAAAACTTGCCGGGAAAAACTTTCTTAGGGTGTTCAGAAAGGTGGAGGAGGTGAGAAAGACGGGGTTTCTGTGTTTAAAGAAGCACCTTATTGTTTTTTTTTCAACGAGTTCTTCAGGGTGCAGTTAAAGGTTTTCAACAGTAAGAATGCATGTGAGGGTTTTTTTTTCCGGAAAATGGCGTACATGTGTGTGGCAAGCAGTATAAAGTATGCATACTTCTCTATACTGCTATGAAAAAAGTAAACATTTATGATAGAGGTAAAACCCGTCCAAGCCAATATGCCCACGGCTGACAGGCCGTCTTTATCACATGAAAGGGCCACGAGCAGTGACCATATCAACGATGTGTTCCCTTGGCTACCGTCCCCTTGGGCACCACACCATGTCTTATAGCGAGGTTGTGTTATTGCCTTTGAGATGTGTGCTGGTGTTGCGATTTTATTTTGGACCAAAAGTTTCATTATAAATCTTCTCAGAGACGATCTCTACAAATAAAACTTAGGGCACGGTTTCACCGCCGACAATCTAGGTCTGCCTGCCATTTTGTGTTCCATTTGGCTTTTGGCGCGGCTGGCTGGAATCAGTTTAAAAAACTTTTGTCAACAATTTTTCAACTTAAATTGTTTATTAAAAAAACTGACCTAATGCTGAGCGCAAACTTTGATCAGAATCGATTTTCAGCTGAAAGCTAACTTCGCTCCCTCATTCCCGCCAATTGCATGTTTTCCGACCTATTTCATTTCCAAAATTACGTATATACGTGTTAATTTTTTTCCTTACAGGTAAAAATGTCCAAAGTGGATCAACCTGCATTTGAGACTCTCATTGATATTAATGAAATACCAGATCATAGCTGCATCAGCACAAACTGGGAAATATTTGGATGAGAGTTAATTGTTAAAATATACCGGTGTTCATTTACATAAATTAACTGAACTACTGTTATACATTAATGCTCATAAATATGGATACATTTCAAGGAAAATTCATATACAGTGAAGATCCCAAATATAATCTGCTGGTATTGATGTAGATATGCTCGCAAGTGTGAATTGATACAGTGACGTTCATAAGTGTAGGTACAGTAAATGATCAGCTAAACTGCTGCCCACCCTGCTTTTCCTAGCTAAAATAGTTGATTCACCCACCGATCTAATATTATATAAGATTTATATCTTTCTTTCTTCGCAATGTATGTTATATATTAAATATACACAGAAAAATACCATAAATCATCAAACACACTGTGTCATACATGCCTGGTTGTTATAGATCGTTTTTCAATTATAATTCTTTCTCACAACCCTTAGGAGAATGTGCAACCTAAGCTGTAACATATAGGGCGCTTAGGATTATCCGACACAAATTCGTCTCATCTTTATCATAGCATATCTTATTATTACCTCTACCAAGGAGAAAACTTTTTTTAGAATAGATTATGCGTGGTGTCCGAAAGGGATGTGGAAATTGAATATCTTTTTTTTTTTACTTGGGTCTATATTTAATCAATATTTGAGCGAACATTATTTCAGACAGACCAACTCCTCCTTTTCACCATGCCGGTGTGACAGAAACGGTAGGAACCGTAGTCCGTTCCCCTATACTTTGTACAAATGACATTCGTTCCATTTACATGCACTAACCCCAGATCTCCAACTAACCCTAACCTGTAATAATCATACGGGACCCAGACTTCCATTCCTGGGACTACCATTCCTGTCACACCTGCAATCCAGATTTATTAAAAGAATTAACAAAACAATTATCTCAAAAAAACTTTAAAAATAGTCACATACAAACTTACCTGCTTGTACAAATCCCAGTAAAGTAATAATTATGACTCAATTTACTGATGTGCTCAATCCATTCAATTTATGATGAAAAGCGCACTCACATTTCTTTGTGTCTCCGCAGGCAGTCTTTTTAAAATCCTGGATTTGTCGACGGTATACTTCACCTAGCTTTCCTTCAAAATAACTTTACCTTGTTGTCCATTTTCTTTCTTTTTGTGGAAAAAAAGCAGAGGTAGTAAGATAATAATTTGCGGCTACTTGTGTCTTAATTGCTTACGTTTCAGAAACACGATTATCTAGATCTTCACACTTGAAAAACACATTCATTAAAATAAAAAAGATTCTCAGATTTCGTCAATTTTTTTAGCCAGTTAAAAGTGCATTTAAAAACCAGTACATGATGAACTGGTTTTCCATTAACTTTGTTAATCAGAGAGAGATTCATTTAAGAAAGATAAAGTTGAAATAAGCTACAGAAAGGTTAATGTGGTATTAAAATTCATGTACGCACACTCGTAGCTATAGGTTCTCAGAAATGTATTAAATACATTATAATCGGTCGTGTTACTGAGGTGTTTGCAAGCTGCTACTCGCAAGTCTGACATTTATACGCTCTTCTCCCACCATATGGTGCGAAGTTATTTACTTCTAATAATTCCCGACCGCACCCAATTCTGCAGAAAACAAGAGAAAGTAAGACGCAGCAGACTGTGGTTTCCACTCTAACTCATATTCAAGTCACTTGCAGAGCAAAACAGGGATTTATCATTTTCCTAAGCGTATCTTTGACGCCAGTTTGGCTGGATTTGGGACCACTTCTATCTTGTCACAGGCAAGGCTTTCGATCAAGTAAAATTGCTAATACATTGAGGGTGTACTCATTTCCTTAATGGACAGCAGAAAGTTGATCTTCACCGGGCAGGGCGGCGTGTCTGTTTGGCTTCAACCTTGCGATTTCGTAGGAGTATACATTGACAGCATTATCTCGCGTTGTACCTCTTGGTGGAGAGTAGTGTCTCACCACATTGATTCAGAGGATATCTTTTCCTGAACGGATTTAAACAAAGGATTTGACTGTGTCCATAGCGGTGCTGACAACATGTACTTGGTCAGCTTCCTCTTAATCACCATCTACTTGCAGGGAATAGACGGGTTTTACCTCATAGATAATTGTAAGTAGACTTGTTAAAACAGGAACTAGATCACTTCAATACTATTTGTATGAAAAAGAGGATAGGGACCAAAATTGTGTGTGAGCGTACGCGTGTGAATGCATGCCTTTATCAGTTTGTGCGAATGTGTGTACTTTAATTCGAAAATATGCATGCGCGTGTCAACGGTCACAAGAGAGAGAAATGTGTTTGTATGCATATTCGTAATATGCGTGGATATTTCAATTTTTGTGTGTGCGCAGGTGTGCGTGTGTGTGTGTGTGTGTGTNGTTTCACATGATTTTAAAATGTGTTAGATGCTTGTTTTAACCAGAAAAAAATTAGAATAGGTAAAATGAAGATATAAAACTCAACTAACAGTGTTTTAAACCATTTGTTGACTTGAAAGAGATAGCTGAGGTTGAGTGCACCAATAAATGTGTCCAGATAAATTTACGAAAAATGAAGAAATTAGGTCATGTTCTATCTCTTACAACGGACAAGTTGTAGAACAGCAGTAAGTTTTGATTTCATGTATAAATAGATTAATGAGTTATCTGTTAGTCCTGAACACGCTTTACCCCAAAGACCTGTGAAGATGAAGATATTGTTAACAATAGAAGGGGGGTGTTCAAAGCACGTGGTTCGTAGCCCTGAGAAAAACGTTTAGTTTGTTACGATGGGAACAAAGAGGGTGAAAAAAGTGTATATCATTTTAATCCCCTATCTTTAGGTTATAACATATCACCAAACTAAATCATTAAGTCACACCTGTATCAACTGTAAGGCCAATCAATATAACCCCGTTTTTCAGATGAATTTTTGGTTGATTAACCCCCCAAATTGTGACTGCCCATATCTCTGTAGGTAGGGATTTTTTTCAGGAAATATTGCAGCCTCAGATATTGTTCATATAAAAGTTCAAACACATCAAATATGGTGTAAATCCGTTCACCCCCGCCTTGCCGCATTTTCTACATTTGGTCTGGTTTTCTCGTGGACACACACTTAAGTAGCAACCCTGTATTTATAGAGAATTAAAACCTGTCCTACCGTTATCAAACTTCACTTGACTGATCCTGTTTTTTATAGCACTGACAGTGTTGTAGTCGCCAAATGAAAATTCAACATGGGTTTTGCTCTTGGTAGAGTACTGGATGAGTCCGACCCGTGACCCATACTTTCCAATCGGTGACTTACCATGAATGTAGTCTACTATAATCTGAATGATAAGTATGTCGTATTGAAAAAAATAAGATAAGAATATTTTGTATATCTACAGAAGGCAATTTATAATAATGATGATTAAAGACAAGGTTAATGATATTTTCTCATCAAATGTAGTTACTTTTAAAGGTAAAAGCCATGTTTTCGGGACTAAGTATCTTATTTTATAATATTTTCTACTTCATATGATGGACCTGTCCGTTGCGTGGTACCTCATAGTGAAAATGTTATATACCTGTAAATATGCGTATTTGTGCGTGTGTGTGGGTGTACACGTGTGTGTGTGTGTGTGTGTGTGTGTGTGTGCGTGCATGTGTACAAAATTACCTTGCACACATCCTTTGCCTCTTCAAAATACCTGGCAGTAATGCTCCCGCTGCTGTCGAGAACAAAAAGAAAGTCAAGCTTGGGCGTAACAAACTGATAGCTACGACCAGGCGGTACCGGGGGAAGCACAAGCTGGGGCTTCAGAAGACTGGATAGCTTATTGTGTAATGTTCTGGCAAGAGTATTTGTATTTACTGCCGCCGATGCTGTGAAAGAAAGCATATCCCATTATGCAACATGTTGTATTAGATATCTATGATTTGTCCCATTGTGTGTGTGGGAGAGAGAGAGGGAGAGAGAGTATATGACAGTTGCTATTAAAACCATGCATAAGTGCATGTATCTATCAAAAGTTCGAAATAAACATTGTGAACTGTATTTATCACTGCAATAACAACAATTGGGTTAAGACAGGCTAGTTAATTTTTAAGATTCATGTTGTCTTACCTTGCTCAATCGCGAATACGGCAACAAAAACCACGAACACTTTCATTGTCTGCATCTCGGTTTCTCCCTTGGTTATTTCTTCTTTATATGTTGGTTATCGTGTGCTGTTGACTCGCGACTGCCTTAATATACTTTTTCTGTCACGGCTTAACCAAATTTTTCACCTGACTGAGAAGATGAATTTCCTCATACGTTTAAAAGGAAAACCGCGTAATGACAAGCCTTCTTCATATTCAGCGAGGTTCGCCGACACAATTATGTATAAATTTCGAAATAGCACGCCCCATTAAGAAGTGCATTTTCGTTTTAATGGCTTTATAACTCTTACTGCAAGGAAAACACAATGATGCGTCTACGATTAAGGAAAGGATAGGAATAATGGCAATTAATAGAAGGGTTGGTCGTAGAATTAGGCGACCATAGTGTTTTTGTCTCTCTCTGTAAACACATTGTCCAAATTTCATCGCAGGGACGCCTTTATGTGTTTTCAGGACAGTCGATTTCTCTGTACAATACCTAAGGTTTGCGTGACGGAAATAAAGAAAAGTTTGGAGTGGTCAAACGACATTTTATGGCGACAACTTTCCCCAGAGCTTATTTACGCACATGCGCATTCTGCACGTGCTCAATTTTACCCTAGAGGGATAGTCTCCATTGAGGCACATGTTGCTACTTATATCATGGGGCCTCACTGCCTGACCCCATTTTGCGCTCGATTCATTTTGTTGACGCGCACAATACGATTAAGCTTCAAGTTATCTCCAACCTTCAACTTAAATCTTCAGTTAAAAAAATTCCATCGGCTTTTACTTTGATGAAAACTATCCAGCAGTTAACTAGATCTATTGAAGCCTTACAGCACGTTTACAACATTTTACGACAGTGAAAGATTCCGTATAACTTCAAGCAGGGATCAACAATACAATTGCCGACTGCTACATCAATGGGGTAAGTTATTTTCTTGCGTATAAATTCTACAGTGTCGTCGTGAACTATACGTGAACTAGTAGGGAACAGTGCGGGAGCCTCCCAGTTCGTGCCCCAAAATGACACGACATGCCACGACAAAATCGGGGCCAAAGGTCGTGCAAATGTCAGCCTTGCATAACTTGTTATAAAATACGAGTTGAAAGAAAAAACATTGTGAGAGAACTTTTTTATAAAATATTGAAAAAGTGAAAAATATTTTCGAAGTCTGGTCCCTGAGAAATCTTCCAATAATAGGAAAGGTAACAGTAAAAACTTAAATATTTCCAAACATAGTTCATATATGACCACATGTTTAAAACCGCATCACTTGGTAATAGGTAAATGTGTCCTATATGATGAAAAATAATGTGAATTATTGAACTATATCCTTGGACAGCTCTTCACCCAATAGACATTTACGTGGGTCCCTACATCATTCCGTATTGTCCAAGTGTAACCGAATGTTTAACAGATAACCCTTATATATGACATATTGCGCCGTACACACGCTCTTGATATGCGAGGATATTCCAGTGTTTGTGTGTGCGCGGGTGTGCGTGTGTGTGTGTGTTTAAGAGGTAGAGAGAACTGATTAATATATGAACAGGTGATCTCGGTAACATAATTTATGGTGCCAGCTAGGTTGTAACTTTTGCTGCTGACGTGGAAGATTGTAGGTCTTGAAGGTCATAAGCGTAAGAATATTTATTTGCTTTTGTGTAGCAATTCTTAGGAAATAAATTATTCGCCATAAGAGGAGGGATTAAAAGCGACAAGTCACCGGGTTAGGAGATGCAAATTTACAAATTACTTTTTAGAACGCGTGGGAGGGAGGAAATCTGGACGCTCTAAACATTTGCACAATGTACTCGATCGCTGAAGGTAAATACAGACTTGACATTTTATGTGGAATATTTCAGTTTCAAATGTAAACCTTGGTAAAAATGCATTCTTTTTTCATTCAGATCTCATAAAGGGTATATTACTAGAGAGATGTGAGGTCAGGTGTGTCGCTACGAATTAACTAACTACCATGTCTGTTGCACTTCTGCATTGGGTATTACAGCGGCGGATCCAAAGATATTTTCTGACCGTCTTCCAAATTATCTTTGTTGATCCATCCTCTATATTGACCGTCTTCCGACAGAAAAAAATCAGATACCCGTCAATGTAAACTTGAAAATCTGACCGTCTTCCAGTAGACCCAGAAGACGGCCTCAATCCGCCCCTGGGTATTAGGTAGTGTTCCTTTTTGGCTGGTCAAAGCTTGATTTGGCGAAGCACGGTTCTGTCAGAAAAGTATCCATATGTCGACAACTACTGCATCAAAGAATTTGAAAATTTGAAAATTTTGCATGCAAGTGGTCGGTTTTGCAGTGAATGAAAATGAGTTAAGCAGCGTTTTACAAAATTGTTAAGCTGTACCAGAATGGCGCGAAAAAGACAGGCATTGCCAGACAGATTGCTGTGTCACACCTAACGGTCCGCACAGCTTTATACAGTTATGCCCAGACTGATGTACCTATACAGAAGCCACGCCCAATGTATCGAAATCTTACCACCAGGGTACAGGACTCACTGTTCTTCGGGATATGCTGCTGCAACTAAACAAAAACCACCCAGTCCGTTCCGAATAAAGGAACAAATTTCCTCCAAAACGCGTTTTCAAGGCTCTCAGCAAACACGAAACTGGTTATAGCAGGTTAGGATTCCAAACGGCCTCTGAGGAAGCTACTATATACAGCAAAACATTTCTCTAATGAATTAACTGAAACCGCGTGGTTTTCTTTATTGATGTCAGCTTTCACCTGTACCTCTCAACTAGTCAAAACAGAGTTTACAGGCATCCTGAATAGGCCCACGAAGAAGAGTCTGCCGCTTCTTAAGTGACAAGGGTCATTAATAGCGTCAGTATTTGGAGTGGGTACCACTTTGGTGCCAAAACACCAATGGTAGTCATCGGTCATAGTATCAGTCAGCAAAGAAGGAAAAAAACTGATAAAATATGGCTTAGAAAAAATATTCCATATTAAATGTCAAGTCTGTATTATAAATCGACCTTTCACTTAACACGTTTATCTTTGCCCTGAGTTTCCTTAAATTATCAACCCCCATGTTGCCTCGATTGAATTTCTATGTGTATAGAATACTCAAAGTTCTAATCAGTAAGCACATTTTTATTGTCAAAAGTGACACGACATAACATAAATGAAACAAACAAGAGATCTTTCGAAACTGCATCGAAAAAAATCGTCCACACACGTGTGCATTTAAATAGAAGATAAACTTAATCAATGATATATCAGAGTAGCTGTTTCCTTAACGTCTAACGAACCATCCAAATAAATATAAAATTGCTAATGCTTATGTTTTTCTCACAGTCAAAATAATTTTTTCTCAATAAACTTTGCTAAGATATAAATTCATCTTGTTTGCATGATTATCCAAGCGATTAAAATACATGTTCGGGAATGTACAGTGCAAAGCTAAGCTATGTGTTTTTCGATTGGCTTTGGTAAGTGCACCGATATTGCAAATCATTTTTATTAAACACGCTTGAACGAAAGGTTGTTGAAGAAACCGGAACTCAGTTGGGGTTGGCTCAGGTTGTAAGCCATTCTGGCTGCCGTCTTCAACTGACTGTACGAGTCTGAGCGGAATACACACCCGCTGTCCCCGATCTGGTTGAGCTCCACGTCGTTGACGGAATTGCCGACGCCAACAACACAAACCATAACACCTGTAACAAAATTGTGGAAGTTATTTTTACACATCGTGACTCCAGACTCGGACTCCAACATTACATTGCCCAAATACATCATAGTGTACAATCGGCGATTTAAGCAAACCCAGTGCAAAAAGCAGTACAGGTTTAAGGAATAGGACCTCTTCATGAAAGTGTGTGTTTTGGAGGGGATATCTTATGCAGCACAAATTTGATAAATATGAGTGCAAATAAAATATGAAAATGCAAATTTGGTAACTGCTAGATCATTTGTAGACATATACACTAAATGGGAAAAATATTCCATGAAACACTGATACTGTAGCTAAAACAGCGACTTCTAAACTATCCTACTAACTAAGAGCACATTCAGAACGGCAGACAAACAGATCCACGGATCAAGTATGGCGACTCATTTAAAAGATTGCAGCTTAATTTCCAATTAGACACTGAATATATTCCTGGCGGGAATTACGCAACAAGCATTCAAGTGGGTCGACCATATTTGATCCGCGGATCTGTTATTCCGTTGATCTGCATGCGATCTAGGCAAAATGAAGCTAGTTTCTTTACCATTCGCTCTAAGGTCATCCGCGGGTATCTTAGGTTTCACACCAGAGTTCGATTTGCCGTCTGTAATCACCCACACCACTCTCACGTTGCCTGGGCGACCTTTGATATCCAGTTCCGTTTTAGCCAACTGTAGTGCAGGGCCCGTCGCAGTGGAACCGCCTGAAATAGATTCCGTTGTGATACAGAATTTCTAACCTCTAAAAATGGTAAAATCAGTTAGGAGCCAAAGTAATCGTGTTAAGATGATCCAAAGCGCAACACAAGGTTTGCAATATCTTCAAGTATGATAAGTCTCCGATCACTATTTCGATGCCTGCAAAAATAGTCCCAAGATTTGAAATATTAATTCCAATTTAAACGTATACAGGGTTACTACTTAATATGGAATATTATTTTTGGCGAGTAAATTTTCTACAAAATACTAAGGTGTCACTCCATGTGTAGCCAGGTGTGTTACCTTATTACCACACAACTCTCGAAACAATTGGTGCATGCAGTTGCATGTTCTGTGATCAGTAATGTGAGGGGTGGTCTTTTCGACAATTTCTGCCCTTGTATAAAAACGCATGGCTTTGGCCAATCTTTGGAGTGTATTTAGAGAAGCAACAAAGGGGTCGCTCTGAAAATTGCCAGGTGCCTTAGAGAAGATATGGTTCGACAGCTAAGTAACGCAGCTTACTATGGGATTCTTCCTCTCAGAGAATTTGACAAGAAATGGACAGCCATTGCCAGGCAATGCATCATTTATCGGGAACTGTTAGTAAAGAAAAGCTACAACAGGGGCACCTACTCCAATACCTCGACCAGGGTGTCCGCGTATCACAACAAGAAGACAGGATCGCCTTCTCTTTAGAGTGCGCCGTGCTGGTCGTACAAAGACAACCAGTGTCCTCAGAAAAGAGTGGCA